AGGAAGGAAAGCCGGGGAAGAGAGGTTTTGACGATGAGAGAGACTCAGGTCAAAGACACGGCGAGAGCACGCAAGGTTACGGGTCCACGTTGGTGGAAGAGACGACCTGCAGGGCATTACAGATAGTGCCCGGTACCTTGAGGTACCGTACGAACCTACGGGTCACAGGTGAGGTGGGCAGGCCTCACCAGCCGGGAGGGAGACACTGGAGACGCTGGAGACACATCAGGAACAGCCGAACAGGCGGCCCGGTCCACTGAAAGAAAGCCACCAGGCCCCTGCCAGTACCACTGATCGCGATACTGAACCACTGAGAGACGCTGGAAGGCCGACGTGGACAGGGCAGTGGAGGTTATCGTCCATTGACAGTCCTTCAAGAGGTACGTACTCCAAGGTTTACCACCTCGAATTCACCTGAAAGCAGGATGTTCAGGATGTTCAGCAGAGGGGGGGACTCGGGAGACGCTGAGAGTAGTGGCAGTTCGGTGGGTGAGTGGCAGAGAATGAAAGTGGGAGGCGGGTGCACAAGAAGTCCCCGGTACGTACTACCTATGGTATCCCGTCCACTACCCGACTGGAACATAGGTTCCTCCCGCGCCTTACCTAAGCTTCTGGGTGGTTTGCTACCTTAGGCGGCAAGGCGCCATGTTCCTGAATGGAGGAGGTAGGAGACGGGGCTGGGTGAGTGGGTGGTGAGTGGGTGGATATGTATACCTCCACCATTGATTGCGTGCACCGGTACTTAGAGATCCACCACTCCAAATGAGAGAGGAATCAGCATCTCTGAGTGGCCGACGGCAGGGCTCCCGTAGTGGAGCTCACGACCCAATGAGGCTTGGCCGCCCACCGGTCTCTGGGTCCTGTTGCCGGGGCTCGAAATGAGCCGGCGACCTCTTCGCTTTTGGTTCACCTGTTCTCTGTGCCTCTCTCTCTCTCTACTCTCTCTCTTTCTGAACCTCTCAGAGCTCACTGTCCCTGTCCTCCTCCTCCAAGTTACACCAAATATTGGAAGCTAGACACACTTAGGTAATCGGCCGCCGCCAAAGGCACCCCCAGTGCCCCCGTCTCGCTCTCGCCGACACGCTCACCGTTCACTGGTCAAGAACGCACAGGGACAGTAGCAAGTCCCGCCGCCCAGCCCAGCCCCAAGACGTGCTTGACGCCGTGTTTCCGGCCAACTGGGTCAGGTTCGACCACCAAGCCACGGCATCCAATCTCAACTTGTCAAGGCCCGTGGAAGACGTCTCGAAGGGGGAGGAGGAGCTTGAAAGACCGTCGAGACAACTCTTGAAGTTCTTCCGGAGTAACCTCTCTCCCACTATGGCCCTGACTCCATAAGACGTCAAAATCATGGGACGGAAGACCCCGCGGCCCTTGCATACACGTACATAAGCGGTCCCCTTTTCCCACTCTCATGTCCGTACTATTCATAGCATCACTTCTGCTCCCCTTTCAATGACCTCCTCCGTGGATACGTGGATGTGCACACCGGTAGGTAGCATCGGATCGTCGACTGAGCCTCACTATGCATGCAGCTCCTTAAACGACCTGCCATCACATCGGCCCTTGGTAGATGGAAGTTGAATGTTGGAACTCCTGAGTCCTCACATCCAATCTCACTGTACTGGTATCCCATCACTTCATTACCAAGTCTCGTCGTTGCCAAAGTTTCGCTTTTGCACTGCTCCACCATGTGTGTCTCACAGCCACGCTCCTATTGTGTTCCTGCATATCCCTATGCTGCCGCGAAATCAGACATGCATTCGATAGCACTTCGTTAGATATTGATATTGTGCTCAAGTGGCGGTATATCGACTATACGTCCCATCCCCTCGCCTCGCCCCTTACACGATCCCGTTCCTTTGCCTTTAGAGTATTCCGTCCAACTCGTTCCGAAATCTCAGGAGTCAGGGGCCTACTCTTACCAAAGCAAAGGCCCAAAGGGAGCCGTAATGGATCAAATGCCCCTGCACAGTTGTACGCGTGACATGTTGCATACAGATACACTTGTTCAGAACCATCCCATTCCCCCCGTCAACACCTTAATATCAACGACCTGCCACTCTGCATGCATGACCGCCCCGTTGGCGGGCCCCCCCTTCCCCTCTCCTTCGTATAGGTAAAAGCAACAGATTACAGAAAACCCCCCCTTGCGCAGCTGGAAGACCCTCGTTATCCTCCTGCAGAGCGGGGTTCACCACCAAACGTTGGGACATTGCGTCCTCATCTCGTCCCCAGTCGGCCCCCTTTGATTGTCTCTGTTTGCCGCAAAGCTACGGATCCTCTGGGGTCTCTGTTCCCGAATAGACAACATGACGAACAAGGCGATGGAGACTGTGGGAATGGAGTCGGCATGTGTCCCCGGCGCTCACGTCTATCGGAACAGTAGACTCACTCAAGACCTCATAGACACACTTTTCCCCCCGTAGTAGTGATTCGCAGCGGCGAGAGAGGCTCAAAACAAGCAATATGTGCATTCACAGACGATGATACAGACTTCTGCCTCGTCTGACCTTCATTCGTACTCCAGTCCACCGTTCACTTCACCACTAGTGCCGCAGGGCACGGGAATCCAAAGAACCCCGGGCCCGATCGCCGTCAGCGGTTAATCGGGGCTCTTTTCATCTGCCTTCTGGCTGTCCGCCCTCCGTGCCTACTACCTCAAATTTCCTACTGTCGTCCTGAAATACAGATATTGCGTTGCTCAAGTCTAGGGCTGACCTAAGCACCCTTCAGGGGCAGCCAACGATTTTCCGTGAGAGACAAGAACCAACGAGTGCCCAATCACATACGGATCCGAAGCGTCCAAGTTGGTTTGTTCGAAATCGGTTTTTAGTCATCCGCGATTCCGCGGCAGCTAAGCCAGCTACCGCATCCCGAGGGCCGCGCCAGACCATGACTCAACCAGATATCTGTATCCGTACGAATATGAATAGAGCTCGTCATCTCTATCAAAAAGCATCTTTCTAGTGGTGCCATTCGGGCAAGTTCCTCTCCAAGCAGAACAATGTTGCCGAAGCCAGAGCCGTATCCCACTACCATTCTTCTCAGATGCCCAGTCTCACTTCCCAATCATCTCAGCCCAGGTCTTACCGCCGCGGGTCCCCCCAAGACGGGTAGACGATTGCGTATGTCTGCCAAAAAAGGATGCCAACTCATCAGGCGCCCAAGATCGTCCTAGGTCACATCACGCACCACAAATCACACAACAGACATCACACTCGCACCATACGCCCCCAAAATCCTGACCGCCAATCCACCCAAGTTGGCTGATAGTGAGCCCCCGGGGACTCGGGAAAGATGAAAGGCACATACACTCACTCACACACCGTCTGATGAGAAGCTAGCCAGCGTGCCAGCCCAAACCCCGTCGATCCTTCTATACCGACCAACCACCCGTGACGTCGTGCCAGTCCTAACCGTTACAACTGCACTAAACATGCACAGTCCCTGATTTTCCCTGGATCGCCAGAACGTGGACGATCCCTTGGGACTGCCCAAAAAAATGCAATGACCTCATGGTTCACCTGCCCATCGGTTCTGTCTCGTTCAATCCGCCGTCCAGGCTCTCACTCAGAGGGTCGGCAGTCGTGCCGCACGTGAAACGCCTTGTCTGGATTACAGCAAAGACTCTTGGCTGCAGGTTCCCTATTTCACTTACTGCCACGAACTTTTCTAGTAGGTAGCACAATCTCCAGCGAGCATGACGTGGAAGGGATGCCCTTACACCGACCGGACACCCCCCACCGCCAATTCTTTCACCAGAAGATCCAAGGAAGTTGTTCACACAATAAGTCCCTTCCCTGACATTTTTACTTTACAGTACTCAGTACCCGCACCGGGCTCCCGCGCCTGGGATGAACCTCCTTGGTTTACGCGCGTGTGCGTGGCTTTCCCACTGCCGACCCTCCCCTTTCAGCCGGCAGAACAGGAGCGATACTCAACAGTGCTGGATGAGAAAAAAAGAAAGTGTGGTAAATGTTTTTTTTTTTTTTTTTTTAAGTGGTTGCATCGAGAGCTTTGGCCCCCATCGCGGCACGGCACGGAAAGGGGCGCTTGCAATAAGGTCGTTCATGCTATGCAGTGCAAGCTGGTTGAGCGCACGAACATGTTTAATGCCTTGAGTCCCAATACTCCAAAACTGACATCGGTTATTCGGCCGTTTATTCGCTCAGAGAGCTTCGCCGAGTTGAAACTATATGGCGTCGCCCGATATCTCAGTCTTTCACTCTGTATTGAATTTCCCCCGTAATCCTTCTTCTATTCATCTCGTCAATACGAGGCCTCCCAGTGCAGTTCGTAAAGGCGGCTCTTTCGGGATTACGATAATCTGAACTCATCATTCCCCCTGAACCTAATTGAATCCCATCCTTTTGCCCCCAGACGTGTTCATGCCCCTATGTGCATACATCAGAGCTCCAACGGAATCGTCCGTGACAAACCCGCGGTTAAACAATGCAAATGAATGTTTCCCAGCACGTTCATCTACCTCATGCTGCAATTTACAAACAACAGACCGACAAAGCTTTCTGGTTCCTTTGGTTGCTTGGAAACCCCCAGGATCAACATATTGATGCTGGCAATGAATGGGATGAAAAACAACAGACGATTGGCTCGTCACTTACCCGCTAACAAAGTCGCCGCCCTCCCCCTCATGCGCTGAACAGTCTCTCTTTCACATGTTTGTTTTAGATCAGAAAAAAAAAGCTGTTCCAAGCATTTCACAGGTAGCACAAAGGTTCTCATGCGCAGCATCTGATGTGGCGCACCTGTCACCAGATGGCATTCCCGCCGTCCTCGAGCTTATGCGGCCCTCAACTTGAGACTTGAGTTCATCTCATATCCTCGTCATGAGCGCTGCCTTTCGTCGAGCATGAAAATGGTTATTAGTACTTCCAGGCACAGATTCAAGTTCTCTTTCTGTGCACGTAGGATTGTTTGCTGTCCGAGATCATGCATAACCAATGTGTTATGGTGATATCATATTATTCCGCCTCTGCTCAACTACCTACCTGCAGCAGCATATCCATCGGGTCCATGTCGCCGAAAACACCCTCCAGACTCGCGAAATCAATACCGTCGAGGTCGTAGTAATGACCATATCCGTCCTCGTATGTATTCGCTGGAAAACCTCCGTTGCCTGTGTCCCTGGCCTCCGTAGATCCTGATGTGCTAGCGTCTGGGGCATCACCTTTCAGAACAGGGTGGATTGGTTGGCCATCGAAAGGGTGAGTCAACTGGCGAACGTAGGTGAGCGCTGTTTCAAGTGTACAAGTAGACTTCCCTGAAGCCAAGTTTCTCTGTATGGATTGAAGTGATTCTTTCCCGCCCTTTCAGTCAGCTTGTCCATGTTAGAAGTATCAAGGAAGAGTACTTACTGCCGAGACGGTTTGCTATCCCATAGATGTTAGAATAAGGGGCTACAGAGAAGACTGATAGGAGCGTTACTTACCGATGGGCCAACGAGTCCCTATCTGTTCCATGAACAGCTCCAGCAGATCAAGCTGGGAGGAGTAAATGGATGTCTCGGACGAGAGGGCCCTTTGCAAGGAGAAGATGGCGCCAACCAAAAGGACAATATAAGAGCACAGCGGGTCGACGATGTCGAGGTAGGCCGGCTTCCACTTTCCAACAACTTCAGCCGCATCGTTTGCCTTGTCCAAGATCGAATGCCAATGCGCTGTGAGATCGGGAGCAGCCGTGGTCGACGAGCTGCTCATCTCCACAGCACAGATGGCGAGTAGCAAGTCGGAACTGGAAATCGTTAGCGCACTGGTCCCGATGCCACGCGGGCATGATATCGAGCGAGAATCCCAGTGCTTACCAGGACCAGACAAGCAGATTCTTCAACCGAGACGCATGGTCCTCTCCCGTCTCGCCAACGCTCAGGTTCCTCACAGGCTGAAAGTACCACGAAGGCAACGCAAACGCCGTGGCCGCACTATCGTTCTGGAGCTCTCTGAGGCGGTTCTCAAGGCCTCTGGTGCGACCGGACTTGACTAGGGACCTGAGTTCTGTGACGGATCTCACAAAGGTGCACACGCCGAGATAGAGGCTTTGATTCGTACATGCCGGCTGTGAAAAGATGGCCTTCATCGTCTGCCAGTGCTTCGGATGCTTTACGCTGTTCAAGGACTTGTTCTGCGACAGGTCTTGATCATGCTCTGAATCAAAGGATGGCTGTGTTATGGATTCGGTGAGCGGCTCAGAAGCGAGCTTGATCTTCTCTTCGAGGCGATTCGAGATTGCGTTTGGCGATGAACTTTGAAAGCTTCCATGTCAGCACTGTAGAGCTGCCTTCCCAGGCATGCCCGAGCATGACTTACGTGATAGCACAGCAGCAGGAATCAAGGCGGTAGATGCACCACCATACCCTGTTCCACTCCTCCATCTCAGCATCCAAGTCCTCCGCCTCTTCCCGTCGTCTCGCTGCTAGTCCATCCCCACCGCCAGCGTCCTCCTCACTGTTAAGGTCAAAGGCCCTGCCGGACACGTTGCGCTGTCCTCCAAGGCGCATCGTGTAGTACAGATCAGCCATCCTGGTGATCTTGGTGGTTTCGGTGACAGTTGCCCACGTCAAGGAGTCAGACATGGCGTGAAGGCACAGGAGGAAAGATGCTTTCAGTTCATCTACGCTCAGTTCCGAGTCGCTCGAGAGACTTTGAGCTCGGTTAGCAAAGTCTTCTGGTGACCACGGCATGACGCCTGGGTTAGCGAAGCGTGAAGACACGGTGAACAGTGCCATTTTGAGGCGCGGTGACATGCGCAGCGCGCTTCTGAGTCGTCTGTCTGGACAAGTCTCGAGTAGCGGATAGTTTGGCTGGATGTGTTTGAAGTATAGATTCAATCTTGAGCGCTGTATTAGTTCCTCGTCTTTCACTTCGCGCTATCTCATGGATGAATGTTATTCACTCACAGGTAAGTTTCCATCTCGAGGCTGACGTTTGGACCATAGGATAGCGGTCTTCCCAAGACATGCTCAGACCAAGACAGAAGGGACACATCGCCATTAGTACTTGTTCGATTCGAAGCTCTGGATGGTATATCATCTGAGCCGTCGGTGCATATGGTTGTGTCTGTGACTCGACCACTTAACTCTGAAGAGGCAGTCGACCCAGTAGAAGTCGAGGGCTTAAGTCTTTTTGTGCATCCTTTCGGAGGCCCTGGAATACGCCGTAATTTTTATTAGTAAACAAATTCGAAGCAACATTAATACAACACCCTACCTGGTTTTCTTTTTCGTTTGGTATACGAACAACTGATGAGACGTGTACGGCAATTTCCACACGCAGGACGGACTTGGTCACCTGTTCCATAATCACGCTGTCAATCAAAGCCATATTTCTGGATGAGCACCAGGGTTTTTGAGCAGCTCGATCTCTTACACTTCGTTTTCTTTCTACATAGATGATGTTAGTTCAGAAGCTTCCTTCAGAAGGGGGTAGTTGGGAGTTGACGGATGGGGACGAACACTCTACAGTGGTCGCAGACTCGCAGCTTTCCCTCATCTGACTCCAGAAGACTCGAGGCATTGCCTGATGGAAGATGGTCGGCTGTGGTAATCCGAGGCGACTCGGGAGACATGGCGATCCAGGAACTCCGTAGCTGTTGGCCTCCAGTGCATCAGGATCCTGGATAGCCCCGAATCGTGACCTCGCGGCCTCAAAACAGAAAAAGAGCAAGGTCAGAAATTTCCGAAGTCAAATTTGGAATAAATTGAATGGCAAAGGACAAAAGAAGCTCAGAAGTCGAAGCTACTTGCCTCGAAGTATGTAGACGGACACGGCGTTTGGTGCTGCAGGTCGCAGAACATATGCAGAGGGCTCGAATAGGCTTAGGGATCCCGTTTTTGCGGGGTAGCCGGTGGAGATGCCGGGAGATCTTCATGGGGCTCTCGCACTTCCTCGCTGTCTGACGTCTTTGTTTCGGCCTCGGCAATTAATAGCGGCCCGGGACTTTCTCCAGTGAATTGATTTATGATGATCAAACAACCGCGCTCCATTCGTAACAGCTTTGGCTCTGGTAGCAAAAGACAAATTCATAACGAAGTCTACGATCGAGCCACGTCGTATGAGCCATACATACGCTGAGGTCTCTTACCGTAATGCTGAGCTTTGTCACAGACTGACAGCTTATCTAAGAACGTAAAAACAGATATTGATATTCCAAAGAACTTCTGATTCACATCCGCACATGAGCTTGCGATATCTTGGCTAGTCACTGCCTCATTCCTTGCTAGCTCTGATCTCCGGCGTCCGCGGGCTGAACCGAACCAGCAGGCCCGACTGCTTCGCAAACCAATAAGTGGTCACCTGCCACTCCGGCTCGCTTGATGCCCATTCGAGACTAAACTGCCTTAATATCTGAGGCACTACCTTTCCAACTTCCATGATTGAAATGTTCTTGCCAATACAAGTACGGACACCAGCACCGAACTACAAATATCGGCGAAAATGGTCAGCGTGTTCCTTCGAAATGGCCTCATCTTCACATATCAAAAGCTTCATACGTACACTCATATTATGCCGGTCCATCGTCTTGACAGCTTCAACGTCGTCGCTGAGCCAGCGCTCGGGCCTAAAGGTATCGGCATCGTCGCCAAAAATACTACGATCGCGGTGAATCACGGCGGCGTTCATGCCTACGATGGTGCCGGCCGGTAGGTGGAAACCAGAAATTTCGACGCCCGCCCCGGGGACGATACGTTCGAGGGGGTAGGATACGCCCGGGTGCATTCGCATAGATTCTTTGATACATGCCTGGCTGTGTTATGTCTCGCCGTTAGGAGAGTGAATCATAAAGGCTCCAGGTTGATGGGAAAACCTACAGGTATCCGAGCTTTTGGCTCTCCCCGAACGTTACCACGGGCGATAGTTCTCCTTTTGCTTGTGCTTCATCGATTTCTCGTTGTAGAATACCATACACACGCTTGTCGCGCAAGACATAGTAGAAAAGAGCTCGGAGGGCGATGCCAGTCGTATCGCTGCCAGCCAGCCTTGTTTGGTTAAATAGTCAGTGCAGGTCTCTTTGTAAAGTATTCTTTCTTCCTTACAAGTTGCCCATCAAGTGATTCATCATATCTCGAGTACTGATGTGTTCACCAGTAGAGGCTTGCTCTCGTCGCAAATACGCCAGGAAATCTCCTCGTTCAGAAGAGTCATGTTTGGCATCGTAATCTTCAAGGCCCTCCATCACCATCTTTGCCAATTGAGGTCAGCTAGACACGCTCAGAAGAAAGAGTTCAAGGATGCACGACACTCATGATCGTAACTCACATTCATAACTATCGGCAATGGATCTGGAACTCCGAGTTTGTCCATCACCTTCCTCAATGTGATGTTGCCCAGGAGATACTTGTGCAAAGAAGGCACTTCCCCGATAATTCCGCCGTACATCAGCCCGGTCTCGATGCCAGAAATAACATCATTGACGTCGGACCGAGTCTCCATGAATCCGAAGCGGCGGGAGAACGTGATGGCGCCAATGACGTCGAATGCGTACCACTGTACCCACGTGCCCAAGTTGACCACCTGCCCCTGCATATCGGTCATGGCATCCGTGAACATTTTCGTACAGGGGTCCACCAGATACTCGAGGGTTCGAATAGACGTCATGGAATACTTTTGTGCCACTGGTCGCTTGAGAGCTTTGTGCAACTCTGGATCGATCGCCGTGAACAAGCTCTGCATCCTTTCGTCTTCGTAGATAGCGTCCAGCGTGTTGTAAAAGTTTGACTGAGGGACCGCAGTGTTAAGTTGTATCAAATTGACATCCTTCTGGTTGTACACACCTTGATAAACTTTGAATTTATGCCGTAGATAGTTTGCAGAGCTGTCGGATCTGAAATGTCAACCACGTTGGGGGCAGTTCGCACGACCGGCCCGTACTTCTCATGAAGTACACGGTAGTCCGAATGGGCGTTGCCCTTCCAGACGAAGAACACGCGCCATAGCGGAGTGAACCTGGCGAAGAAGGGCCCAGGTACTTTACTGAGGCCAGGGCGGAAAGCTACTCGCAGTGAGTTGACAAGGAAAACTAATAGGATCAAGACGAACCCAAGTGCAATGTGGTGAAAATCGATGGATAACATGGTAACACCCAATGACGATTATAGCGTGAGATTGTGATTGGGTTATCGTAGCGTAAGTCGTTGGGTAACAAGACCATTTATACCCTACATCCGGGGATCAGCATTGCCGAAATACACACACCCAAGGGCATCATGTTGAGCTCAAATAGGTGTTGAGTTGTCCTAGTCCTTGTGGAGAAATCGAGGAATCTTGGCTCGAGGCTTCTCCACACTCCGCTGCTCACACCGGCACATCACAACTTGCGGGGCATTCAGAGGATACTCCGGTGTCTCAGGCCTCGCACAGTTGCCACCCGGGAACTAGCAGACATAGGTCACAACTATCGCATATATCCCTTAGAAGACACATACATGCGAGTAAGTCCTTGAATTACCTTAACGCTTCCCTACACATAAGTCTAGCGCTTAGACCTAGAGAATACCATGGCTGGCATATGGCTCTTGTGTAATTTGCAGCATCATCCAGATGTCACCGCTGAATTGCGATGGATGGGGCATATCCTACTCGACTATGTTTACATCTCAATAAGCTTCAAATAAGTGAAAATACTTCGAACGCCCCGGCGGCTCCTGGAACCTGTCAACACAGCTGCCGGCACGGTTTCCACTGCCGACCTCCGGAGCAATTGGGCCCCACCCGGTGCGACACAGAGGTTCCTCCGGACCCACTTTAGGATGCTCCGGAGCTTGCATCTGCCGGTCATAACCTATTACCGAAAGGCCGTCATTAATGCTGACCGCTTGCGACTTAATATCGCCTCCGTCATTGGCCTCTAAACCACATTGATCGACAGGTCACTTGTCAGCACTTTCTCCAATTTCCTTCTCGGCTGCACAAGTATTCAGCTTAGGTATTGTTTGTGAAATGTGAAGGTCCCTCGCTGTGCACACATCTGCCTTGTCATTTTCGAGGTTCGATCTGTATCCATGAGCATATTGCGGGCTTCAACCGGCGTGACGAATTATAGACTGGAGTTGGCACAATCATTTTTCACGCTCTATGTAACGATGCCAATGCACTTGCAAGGAAATCATGCCTTAGCCGTGTCATCGAAATAATCGAGCAGATATGGAGGCCCATCGATAATGTTCGGGAGCTGTTTGTATTGTAACAGATTCATACATCACAGGAGCTTTACCAATGTTAGATTGCTTCATTATAGCGATTGCTAGAACTACGCATTCACTTCCCCCCTTGACAAGTGCCTGGAGCATCTCCCCCGCCTGGATGAGTTGTTATTGACGGCCACTTCCCTCCTAGACATATCGAACATTTTGATAGAAAGAATTTACAGATGGAAATCACACCGAACCCAAATTGAGGTGATAGTTTCGAATCAGATTCGTCCATATCAAAATGTCTTGGTTTTATGGCCTTGGAGGGACTCGTCTTGATTTTTAGCTCACGTTTCGCGAGCGAACCTCGCTTCTGAGAGCTTCAGGGTGTAACACCGACGAAATTGGTCTCTGAACTACCTTCCAAACTACTAAGTATCTTTGAATTTAATTCATCAATGTCAGTAGGTTTCCAACGCTACGCAAGCTATATCTGGGCGACTCGGGATGCCCACACGCTTCAGGTACGACGGAATAGTGGCGTGAACGCCACGAAAATTTGTTCTTGAGCAATATAAGTATATATGAGTGATGCTAGTACCAAATTACGGTCAGAAGGGATCTTGACTAGTAATAGTCGCTGATCAGCTACTATCTAGTGATATAGTCAGGTTGGCCGTGAGCCAGACGATAGATCATGCGATAGAATCGACTCTCCTCTCAGAAAATCATAGAATTATATCGTCACGCGAATCATGACTCAGTAAGTCTCAGGGGCTCTCGTTGTCGTCGAAAATACAACTGAAGCTGGTCTAGACCCATGACGCTCGAATGCGAACATTAAAGAATTACCAAGCGGCCCTGTAGCGATTCGGATTGGTATGCGAAGTCGATGTAGTCTACGGTCACGGAAGGATGTCGATACTTCTTCAGCAGGCATCTTACAAACAGACGCATCTTATCCTTCAATCTAAAGCTTCTGAGCATGGAATCAAACCCTTGGGCTTGTAGAATAGGATGAGAGGCCGCTTTTCATCGGCTTGAAATAGGGTGCGCGATGGACCATCTAAGAGTTGCTGTAGAAAGTAGACTTCATAATCGCCGTCAAATTCAACGCAAAACACCCGTTGACATGTTGACAACCTAAGAAAGGTACAGTTGAACGCGATGGAACTGATTCTCGCAATGCATCATTCTTCGCGGTCGAGAATGGGGGAAATGAGGATGCACTTTTGTTGCTAGCAACGGAGGACGTCCACTCTACATGTAGTCTAATCAATACTTTGCCAGAGCAGAAATATTTTACTACCCTACTTTATATGCTGTGAAGCCTGTGATTGAAGGCCAAAATGATATGATACTCCTGCTTGACTTAACGACACACATGAATGAGCCCGAGATGGCGGTGAAGCTTGCAGTAATCAGTAAGACGTATTTCTGTCATATAACGGAAGGGTTCCCGGAACAGAATTTCATTTCTATTAGGAATATTCCTAGATCCTACAGGCCAAGAAGTCACGGAGATGGAAGGGTAGAGCTGCTGTCAAGCCCGTGGAAGTGATCAGTGATTTCAAGCCTTTGTTACTGAGCCGTTAGCTTAGAATTACCAGCATGTAGGGGCGAAGAACCGCTTCAAGAGAGAACTTAGGCAAGCAACCGGAGTTTCAATACATGAATGCTTCAGTCGAAGAGGCTCAGGCAAGGCAGCGTAACCTTACTTTTGGAGAAGGAACTCGACTTTTACAACATTGTAATATGCTTTCAGTCACCGTCAATACTGTCTTCAAACTCCAACCAAGTGATCTGCACAACTATTCAAGCGACTCGTCTTGAAATTGACGCATGTCACGGTTGCGTCTCACATTTGAAAAGAAACCATGGCATCACCACGTACGTAGAGTCCACGACGTGACAACATCAATACTTGTGCTTTAGGTCCGAGTGGGATGCTCTTGTTCCCATGCGTGATCTGGTATAGACACTAAGTACTAGGACTGAAGAGCTGCCCTCACTTATCTTGTAGAAACTACTTGATGGACTTCTTCAGATCACTTTCTATCTAATCGATGCCATGTTACCAAGGTAGTCGACTTTCTTGCCACGTTGAATAAGACCTTACCCTACATGTATCTAAGCTGCTTTCCGATCAAGTCAAGGAGATACCCCTCAACTGCTAGAAGGTATCAATTAATCTGTGTACAATCTTTCTTTAACTCCTACTGTACTTCAAAGCTACACATAGTCGTACCTATGTAGGAGAAATAGTGTCGGGTAGATTTATAATGAATTATTGCCCCTAGGAAAGTATGTACATGTGTATTGACTCTATCTACCAGTTGATGAGATATAATTTCGATTACAATCGCTGCAGCACTTTTTAGTTTTTTGTGAGTAGACCTCACAATGCCCCAGTCATGGTCCTCCGAATTACTTTTCGATCATCGGCCCGGAAGACTGGCACCAGGATAGGTCCCCGACTATTGAGGATTTCTTATCGACATCTTCTACTCATAGCCTTCAATCGTTACGTGTCGTCGGTCAACAACCCCGAGGCTTCGGGTCGATATCTCGGAAATCGTCATTCTGCCACATGCAGTCTCAAGACAGATTACTCCCGAAGCAGAGAACGATACCGAGCTGGCAGGCTTCACACAGTACAATGCCGTACTCCCTTATTGCGAACTAAACCTTGCTTCCTGAACCTACATCAACATGGAGATATACATCCGGATCAACATGAATTAACGTTAAAGATACTCATCCCAAGTCCGATACTTACTTGGCGACGGGCACCATGTCTACATTCAATCTTTAAAATCGTGCTTGATTCAAGCTCGCTCCACCGTGTAGCTGTAGCACAACGTAGCACTCGGAAAGGATCGTCGTGTCAAGTTGCAGGCGGTCTCATCTCGACGCCGCCAAGCCCGCGAGATTGTTTGATCACCACGCGACAGCTCGCCAACTCCTGCCCCCTCTTTGACTCTCCCCTTTGTCGCAAGAATGTATGCTTATAATTATCGCAAAGTCTCAACCTTGCCATTCGTTCCTGTGGAACACCCTGGCTACAAAGACGTTAGGAAGGCCGCCTTGCTTTCTTGGGTTTCCGAGTTTCGATAAAGAGCGGGTAGTGCCAGGACATCCTGGCCGTGGGCGACACAGGTGATACAGGAACCAGCTGTTGATCTTCACCAACAGCATGGATCATCGGCATAGTCTTTCCGCATGTTGCCAGGGATATATTTTTCAGATTTTGGAAATGCAATCGTGGGGGGTTGTATTTCACAGGTTAACCTTCGGAGAGGATCTCAATACCTTGCCTCACGCGCGGCTTTGGGAGGCGATAACGAATGATCAACCTCTCTTCTTGAAGTATCATTAAAGTTGGTGTCCCAGAACCTTGAACATTTACTACCCGTCAAATACTGTTTAGGTTGACTGAACGAGATTAGCACGGTATTACACATCTTACAAATGACTTTGTCAATCTATGACACTCGTAATAAGTCGAGTCAGAATTCCCGAAAGGTGTCAAGGCTTTCTTTG